TGCCATTGGATTGCAGAGAGACACAGGATTGGCTGCGGCCAGGTGGTCCAATATGTCTGCGCCCTAATCCGACGCCACAAAAGACAGCGAAACGTGGGGACTGAGGTTGGTATATTGCGCTATTCTGTCTAGCGTTGTTTGGCGCTTCATAGTTTTTTCGTTTAGGATGAGTTGTGTGCTCTGAGTTGAATTTATTTATATTCATGCCCAAAGTCTTCCCTAACAAACGCCCTACTTGCATCAAATTTGCGCAAGTTTTTGTGGCTTCTTTTTCGGTATATTGTATTGATATTTACGGAAACGGTAACCTTAGCAGGCTTGACCAGACTTCAATAGATCGCAATCATTCGAGAAACTATTGCTCTACACACTGTGTGGACTTCCCTGCTCAGTTGCCGCGTATTTCTTTTCAAAGACGCATATAGGTCCACTGCTGCAAGGGAGCTTCGAAAATTCATTAGGTAGTTGGGAAAAATGATCGCGCTTAGCAGTTCATCAACTGAGAATCACCTCTGATATGCATGAAGGTGTCATCGGTTTCCAGTCTGCCTTGTCGTGTGTTGCTTTTTTTTTACTTTGCCTTTAATCGCCATTAAGGCAGGACTATGTCCAATGTTCAGCCATCCTTTTAAATATCCTTTTTTTTGTGCCGGTATCCGATTCTTACTAACTTTCGCTGTTTAAAGCTACCGATCCGATCGATACCCCACTTCTCATTTTCTCTGTTCAAATGTATATTCACGGATGTGACTAAATGGGTAAATGAGTATTCGCCGGCTTTGATCTACTTATTAGTGTTGTTGTTGTTCATGCAACGGATGTCCACGAATAACGCAGGTTTCCCTACTTGTATTCTAGAACTGCATTTCAATGGTATCCCCAAAAATATTAAGAATGACTTGGGGTTCGATGACAGTAGAGAAAATAGATGAAAACGGCAAAGTTGTGGATGGCGAGGACGTCCGTTATCGAGACGCGAAAGTCTGGCCTGGTGGCAGCTGTGGATGGGACTGGAATAAGTCTGGCAAGTTTTTTCTCAATTTTTCAACCAACCAATATTTCACTTGCAGCCTGAAACAGGCTGATGTCGCAGAAACTAGTGGCTAAGTGTGGTCTTCTGTCAAACTCAAGACGGACTAGCTAATTGCGGTTTGCCTTTTACGTGTTAACTAAGCACGTTGGATTGGGCTTTCTACGTGTTGACTTATTGCCGCAAAAGTCGGATGATTAGCTCCTCAACGATGTGTCATGAGGTTGTGTAGTACCTTGTTTACTAAGCCTTTAATTCTGCTGTATTCCCAAGTTTTCACTGTGTCAAGTCTAATTTTCAACTAATGGTCAGATCTACCACATTTTGGTTCCGCCAAACCTCTTTTTACGCACACAAACAAACCTCGTACGCGGTACTGACGGTAACCGTCGTACCTAAACTGCCATTTTTCATTGATACTGCCAAAGTGCACTCAAGCGAGTGTCAGTTTGAAATGGAAACGAAATCGCCTTGCACATTTCACTGATAAATTGCCAACTAAACACTCTATTCGCTAATAGGTTTGAGGCAACTTTGTGAGTAAAGAATGTGGCACTCTTGGCTTGCGAATGCTAAGCTCATAGTTTGGACCTATGTGAATTGTCATTGACATTAAGCACTTACGTGTCCTTGTTCGACCCCTGGTTTTAAGGCTTCTCCCGGTTCTAGCCGTCCCAAAGCTCTACTGGGCCGGAACCCACTGCAACTCGTGTCCTTTTTTGTTAGTTACGTCTTTTTCGATTTCATGCATTGGGAACAATGTCTGCGTGCCTCTAAAATGCCCCATTACTGTGCCACTTCTAACCTTCACGTGCATCTGCTAATGCGAAACAGTGAGCATAATTAACGACTTTGTCAGATTTTTTACTAATATTTTGGCTTCAACTCATTCTCCTTCTAAGGTACCTCTCACTGGAATGGGATAACGAAGGAGGATGTCAGCGAGCTAACAGACAAGGGCGCCGAGTACATTGTGCTTTCACGCGGGCAATGGGCCTTCCTGCACGTCCCCCCAGCCATAGTCGAGGAGCTAGAGAAACTTGGCTTAAAGGTGATCGTGGAAAGATCTAGCGTTGCGATGGAGACGTACAACAAACTGATTGACGAGGGTAGGCGTGTCGCCGGACTCTTTCACACAACCTGCTGAATTTCTTCCTCGTTTGTCCTCGCCGTTACCTCTGCTTATTTATTCTTTTATCTGCTTACTAATCTCGCATGTTAATGTGTATAATTGTGGAGTCATACCTTATTATGCAACCCTAGAATTTCATAGCGATGTGTTCGATTTGGAGGTGGTGGTATTTTGAAGTAAGGCTCAGGAAAGTGATGGTTACCGGAAACAGAGTGCAACCTGGTGTTGAAAGTTGCCAGGACTCAGTCGTGCTTGGCATCAAAAGCGTTGGTTGTATTGGTGACATCAGTTCTCGCCCCCACGTGAAAGGAATTGTGTCGCGGACTCATGATTCACCTGCATTTGTGGTTTGTGGTGGTGCGCAGTCATGAGAAGTGAAAAGAAGCGAGGGGGTGGCGTGCAGGCGGCAGGATGTTGGTGTTGGGCGGCGTGTGTGTGTGTGTGCGTGAGTGAGTTAGTTAGAGCCTGGTGGTGTGGCGTCGGGGGTGGGGGTGGGGCAGGGGTGAGGAGTGCGAGCAATGTGTGAGCGTCGGTGGCTTGATGGTTGCAGTTGTGGTGGGAGTGTTACTTGGTAGGGAGTGATGTAGGTAAGGCGGTGGTGGTGGTGGTTTGTAGTGGCCCTAAGAGACATTGACGGACATCGCTGTGGGCAGACACGGCTGCAAGGTGTTTAGGGCTGAGGCCACTTT